ATGTTCAGTTACTCATAAAGAGAACAAACAAAAAACCCAAAGAGCACAGAAAAACCAGGCTTTTAGCATTGTATGGAAAGCCAGGTATTAAAAAAAAAAAGCAGCTAAAAGTTTAGGGAATTTTGGGGGGAGGGAGGAAACAACCAACAAAGAAAGAATCCTGCTATGTGATAAATCTGCAAAAGTGAAGAAAAATGGTCTTATTTGGACTCAAACTGAAATAGTTCCAAGGCTGCACGCTCCAAGAATTTGATATTATTTGGGTACCCAAGGAGCAGTAAAGTGGGAATATGGGACAGATTGCTGCTTGGCTTGTTCTGAAATGCAAGAACCCCACTGGCAATTTCTTCTCTGGGAGGCCTTCTCGAGTTGATATTCCAGAAAAAGACACAATATTTAAAATGTCACAGCAATGATATCTGGTGGTCTGTGTGTGATTCTGCTTGGATACCAACAGGGCTTTAGTAGCAGATAAAGAGCCCTCCTCTGGAGTGGGATTTGAGGGATGCAGAAGATATACTTATCTCAAAATTGCTTTTTCTTCAGCCTGCAATTCTCACTTTTAGAGTTATCCTTTTGGCTGGTGGAGAGTCTCAACAGACTGTCAACTTTGGTTAACATGCAAATCTGTCACTTTGGGAAGGATGACACATGGTCGTCAAAAGGATGAGGTTACCAGTTACACGAAAATGAGTTTCAGTCGTTGAAAGGAAGGAAAGGAAAAGGATACAGGGAGTCTGCTACAAGGTCCTATGGAGTAGTGAGTGGGGTCACGGTGAGGAGCCCCTAGCCTGTAGGGGGCAGTAGGAGGCTCACCTGCCTTTGCTGGAAGGGAGGAAACTACAAGATGGAGGGTAAGTCGGCAGAGAAAGGGGAGGTGGGGGAGGGCTTCGGGTCGGGGAGCTGGGAAACTCCTGACCCACTTCCAATTTCCTGGCACTGCTTCAAGAGAAAATAAACACCGACCGGGTCCAGGAAGATTTCTGGCCCCTTTTTTACAGAAGGCATGCTTTGACTGATGTCCCTTTCCTTTTTGAAAGAAAAGCAGCCTAAAAATATTATCCCCCCCAGCCCCCATTACCCCAGCACACACCGTAACCCTCTGGCTTGTTACCATCTTCTGTTTTCTTTAGGAGTGCTTTTAATTAGATGTTAAATTGACAATAGCACCTAACAATTTTTACAGCTCTATTCTGGAATCCTTTCTCCGCCAGCATATGGAAAAACTATCAAGTATTACACTCCTTCCTCAATGTTTTTTGAATTTAATGTTTTATTGCTCATTTAAAGCCGTCAACATCAACTTGGCCATGCACACACACAGATTTGTGGTGAGAAGCTAGACTAGTTTGCACACAAAGCAATTAAACCTGGCAGCTATGATTCGCAAGGATGAATATTTTCCAGTTGTGGTAGGGGCCAATCATATAGGAAAGAAACCAGCTGTTTCATGTTAGTTCCTGATGTTGACTTTTCACACAGACGCTCATGTTGCAAAATTTATTTTCTGTGAAGACATACTGTGAGGGCATTGTGTCATCTTTGTTCCCCTCTTAAAGCCCCAGTTCTTTCTGGAAAAATGAGAAGGAGTCATGTAATGGTCATTTGGCCCTGTGTAACTGTGTCCTGGTTAAGTGCCAACTCTGATATTATAATTTAGCTACTTAATGGCTTTCTTCAGTAACATACTGAGCAAAATATTCTTCACAGCCAGATTGGGAAGGACAAGAATTTCCTTCATTTCACTCAGATATCCGCTCACTCAGTACTGAGCATATGCAAACAAGGGCTTTCTCCCAACCTCACACAATCACCATTCCCGTGAATTCCAGTGGGATCTGGGGGGAATTTAGTCACGCAGGATGCACCTCCTGAAGTTGGTGCTTTGGTAGCAAAGTGAACGTGGAGAACTTTTTAACCAAGAGTGTCTATATTTCTAAACTACACGCACCGCCTATTGAGTGCTTAGGTGAGAGAATGGGGTGGCCCCGAGGAAAGGGGGCAGAACCTGCAGGGGGATGTATGCCACCTCCCTGTCGCCTGTGCACCAGATGAGTCAACATCTGCCTCAGAACCAGCACTCTTTCTGGAAATCTCCAGAGGACTCCACATCCTCCAAATCTGGATATATTTTACGATGTTACCCTGAGGTTTCCATTCTATTAAATGAATAGGGCTGTATTCAAAATTCTCTCTAGTGCCTAGAGTTTGTGATTTCACCACCACTAGGAAAGCTTCATTTTTTAAGCATTTAAGCTGCCTCCTTCGATTCCGTGACCCCTATTTCTCAAGAGCAGCACAATCCCTAAAATCCATCCTTTGCTACTCAGAAAATCAGAGAGAGGCTTAATTCAAGCACATCACGCTGTTGCCTGGACTGCAGGCTTAATTGGAACAGAGGCAAAGTTTTTCCCTCTGGCATAAATGCATGTAAATGGTTGATAAAAAATAGTTTTATTTTTAAGTTAGCATTTATGTAATTATTTTGGGATCACTTTAATGAAGGGTTAGGTCAGAAAACAAGTGGTGGTGTTTTCTCATTTTGCAGCAACAGAAAATAGTTGATCTAAATTTTTTCTTCTGCAGTTTGGAGGAAAAGTTCCATTCTGTCATGTAGGTGACTTTTAAACAGCTGTATTGCTTGGCAGGGCTCATTCAGAAGTGATCCTTCCCATCAGTTTAAAACACAAAACGAATTACAAGCAGAGACAAGATACACAACTTCCCTGGGTGCTGACCTTCCTGGCCTCACACTTCCAGCTCTTGAGGAGTAAAGCACTCAAAGAATCTGTTCTAAATCTCAAGATGTCTCGTGAGCCATGTGATGTTCATTTTACTAAGGAAATAAAATAAAATAAAAAATAAAAGTATTCAGAGCAGCTGGAGGAGAGAGGTAATTTGAGGTCATTGCTACACTTTGTCAATTAGTGCGTGAGTCACTCAGTTGGAAGGTATCATACAGAGGCCTCAGAGGAAGAGTTTATTCTAAAATGCCACACAAAAGGACAAGACAGAGTGGTCTTCTGTGAGCAGCTCACTAATGCCTCCAGACAGAGGCTGGCAAACTACGACCCCCATGAGCCAGAGATGGCCCACTGCCTCTCTTGTGTGACCTCTGGCTGCTTCCACGCCACCACAGCAGGCCTGAGTAGGTGCACTCAGACCTTACCACCCGTAAAGCTCAGATTTTTACGAGCTGGCCCTTTACAGGTGAAGTGGGCTGACTCTGGCTCTCGAGAACAGGCCTGGATGTTGAGTGTGCTTTTATATATTAGGGTAGCTTAAGGATAAATTGTAAAAGTCATATAACTGTAAAATTAAAAAAATGATGATGATGATAATAATAACACCTTTTATCTATATAGCATCTTTACCTTCTCCGAGTACTTTCAAACGTATTCTCGGAGTTTGCTTTGAACAATTGGTGAGGTTATAATCTGATCAAACAGAGCAGTGTTCCACAAAGGTTGAGATGGTGTGACGGGGTGGAGGGTAAATGATTCCTCACTGAATAACTGAAGGAGAGGCTTTCTTTCAAGTCCCTGGTGTCTATGCACTCTTGGAATCTCACATTATATGTAGCAGATGGTTTAAAGTTCAAGAATTTTAGATTAGGTTAGCGCTCGGCATAATCCTTAGTTTTACGCAACTCTACAATTAGCAAAAAAGCACATCAGTGTCAAGAAAAGGACTTAGAATGGGAAGAATATGTGGAAGCTGTGATCAAATTCCAGAATCACAGGACGCCAATATAGGGAACATGTTATGTGAGCCTGGGCATTGTGGACATGTGTTTTCTTTGTTCTATATTTTCTTCTTTAACACCATGTTTCCTCCCGGGAATCATGGCTCTTCAAGTCTCAGTTCATGGAGTTCAGGTGGGGCTCCCCCCACCACTAACTCTGTGGTAGGCACATGACTCCGGCCTGGCTAGTGGGAAAACTCTGTCCCTCTAGCCACAGGGACTGGTTTATTGACAGATACATGACCCAACCCAGCCAATGGGAATTAGGCCTTTTGGACTTTTTGTTGGAACTACTGGAAACGAAGCCCTCTCTCAGATCACAGGGGCTAAAGATTATGTAAGCTTGGAGCTGCCAGCGTGTCATCTTGGCTGCTACATGGAGACAGTACCTAAGAATGAAGCCAAGAATAAGCAGAACCAGGAGATTGTGGGAGACACTGAAAGAAGAAAGGAGGCAGAGACAGAAAAATTGAATCCTGATAACATATTGGGCTTAGAACCAAATTTGCCTAAAGGAATCTTCTGGAATTTTCATGTACATCAGTCAATAAGTCCTCTTTTCTCATTAACTAGTGTGACTTGAGTTTCTGTCACTTGAAAGTGAAAGCGTCCTGATGTATACACTGGTAACATTTTCCTCCTCATAATAACTTAACCTTTTTACTAAGAGGTATTTCATTCCAGTTGTGGACATGAGCAAAAGCATAGGGCTGAAAGAAATGTCTTCCATCAAAATCTGTTGCAGAGCAGGACAGGGCAGGACCAAAACCACACTGGTGTACCATTTCTTAATTCCAGTCTTAAAGATACCCAAGAATGGGGTTCTATCACTAAGCTTACCTAAGACGTTTCTCAGTTTTGTTAAGGGAGTTTTTCTTATTTTATGATGATATCAGGCTGGAAAGTATTTTCTTCTGAGTAGCATTCATGATGTTAACCTTCCAAAGATTTGTCAAAAATATCATTTTTGATGTTTTGTTCTTTGTTGAGGTTGTGTTCTACATCATTCCTATACTTTTGGGCCAACTTCAAACTCCAACGAATTATGTCTATCAGGTTTCTCTTTATTCCAACATTTTCTCTTCTTTTTTATTCCCAAGATATATGCATCTGTCTGCAGGGCTTAAGAAAATCTGCTGAAGTGTTGTTCTGTGATGTTTATGGATTAAATACACAACATTTTCCATCTGATGTCTTTACCTATAGGAATGGCTGAAGTGCCGTAAATTTATAGTTTCTAAGTCAAATTACTCACCAGTTGTGTAATTCAGCAAAGGCAGCTTTGATTTTCTTCACTGAACTATCCACTTCCTCCTTGATCATGACGCGATATCTAGTTAGAGACACAGTGCAGCGTTGCAAATCCTTCACCGATTTCTCAATATTTGGGCCTAAAATTAATGTCAAGAGAAAGCATGTTAAAGCGAGCACTTTTTTTTATTTTTGAGCTAAACAACAACAAAAGCAACTAACTCACCCCCTTCCAATAAAAAGAGAGAGATTTGTCTTTTGTTTTTCAATGGAAAAAAATGTTCCTTTACAAGGATGTTTACAACCCAGACTGGGTGGTTGTGTGGCCCCTGGGACAGCTGGGATCTTAACAGTGGGCTCTCTGGATGGGCCATTTGGGGCACATGTGTCTCCTCTGCCCTTTGGAAAGAGGCTCTGATCATTATGTTCTATTGCAAACTGTAGTTTCTTAGAATCTGATACGTCTAAAGACCATTTGTGCTGCTGGCTCTCTCGATAGACACCACTCTGCGTAGTTTAAAGCCAGCAGGGCTTTTGGAAGAGGAAAATGACAGAGAGGTTGGGAGAGGTACAAATGGGCTAGAGAGAGGACAGAGCATCGCTGCCAGGTACCCTGGCTCTGGCCCCATCAGTCCTGAGCCAGGCCTGTAATTATAGCAGCAGCACTTAAAGCAGCTCTGTGGGTGCCAATCTTGCCTGATTTCCTGAAACTGTCACTAGGGTTTACAGACAGTGCAGAGCAAACAGGCAAATTGTACTTATCCCAACAAGGGCATGTTTCTTAGAAGAAAGAAATCTCTCTCAAGAAAAGTGAGAAGGTATAATCAAACGCAAGCCAAGGAAACCAGATGCACCTGAGGCTGAATGAGAAGAGTATTGTTTAATCTTCTGGCAAAATCAGAAAGGAAGTGATTTAGCCCCTTTCGTTTTTAATACCAGTTATGTGTAAAGTATATCAAAGCTCAAAAAGTGATAAAAATATAATGTGTCAAACATAAAACTCTCTTTCAGAGTATATCGTCTGCAAGTCCTAACACAGAACTGAATTTACGTGAGGAAGGTCATATCAGAAGAAGACACAGCAGCCTCTAAACTCATCTTCATTCAGTGCAAGTTCAGCACTTACAAACTCACATATTGGGGAAACATTCAGCCTTCACATTGCTAAAAGAGCTCCTGCATTAACATTTGCTTTATAGGATGTAAGGGGAGAAAGTATTTGTGGTGCAAATTTACCCATGCCTACAAAGAGTAGAACGGCCACAGAGGGGCAGAAAAAGGGGATATAATTCCACTTAAACATTCAAGACCTTTAATTAACAATGAAGGAATCACATCTGGCTTTCAACCTATGTGGCTCACAGAAAGAAATGCAATTTCATGTGTATCTCTCTTCACTAAGCAGCATCTTTTGGAAAGTTCTGTCATTCGGGTACTCCTCTGTGTGTACAAAATGTGTTGAATCATTTGTGCAAAAGAAATCACTTTACCTCTTTTCTTTGCCAACTCATCTGGCTTTAGTTCAAGATGAGCTGCAGGGGCATTGGACTTAACAGGAGAAGTTTTTGCCTTAGGCTTGCTTGGGTTACAAGGCTGCTCAGCTGACCAGTGTAGGCCATCTGACCCCTCTGGTGTTCCATGTATAGGTTTGGGGTTCCCATCTAAGGATACTTTCTGTTGCAGTGGTCTGTTGCCTTCTGTAAGAAAACACCAAATAATGACTGTGAAGTGATAAACTAAAAACACTGATGATAAAGTGATGGGGGATGCCGCGATTTTTGTTTCTGTTTACATGTTGGCAATAGTGCCTTTCACTGCAAACAGTCAAGAAACTGTTTTAATAGATGCCCCAGGAGATGAAAGGATATACTGAAAGAACCTTGTACTTGGAGTTACAAGACCTGGGTGGGTGTTTTGGCTCCAGTAATTACTTGCAGAGTGACCCCAGGCGAGCCACTTATCTCTGAGCCTTAGTTTCCTCACCCATAACCACCCAGGAAGGTCATTAGGAGCCTTACATGAGGTGAACAGTTTGTTTTCCCCCATTCAGTAAAGGCTTAGGCGTCTTTAAGTATGATTTCATACTGAGGCTATAAAAACATAGCCCTCCCACCTCCAAGTGCTACATCAATGTCTTGTGGTATTTTATTCAGAATTAATGAAGGCAGAAGAGTGACTGGAGATAGGGCAAGAATGTAGTGACAACAGGTTCTATGATCATTTCGTCTAATTTATGGAAGGATTAAATCAGGAAACATCATCACAGTAACTCAACTATATTTAAAATCTAGGGAGTCAGATTCTCTCTGGAGCTTTAACAGATGTGGCAATAAATTAAGCAGCGCATTGCTTTCAGCATCTTTTAAAGGTAGGTTCCTATTTAGTTATTGCTGGAGTGAATTAAATAGCACCTTAGTGGCCTGAAAAGGAAATGTATCACCATTAACATCTTACTCACAACCAGAGAGAGCTTTGGGTGTGAGAAAAGGGGAAGCCGGCATGCTTTTGCAGGTCAGGTTCTTAGAGAAAGCTGGGTGTAGTGGAAAGAGCGCAGGTTTGGCACATTCTGATCTTCCCGATGTCTGGATGACCCTGCAGGAATGACTGCACTTCTCTGGCCAACTGCAGCTTATACCCAAACAGAGCACATCATCTCTGTGACACCCAGCCCCCTTTCAGAGAGTCACCCTGCCTCACTTCTCTCTACTCCGTGGTGCCTTGTAAAAACTTAGTGCATTATACTCTAACACGAGGTTTCCATGTCTGTCCCTTCCTTGCAGAGGCTATGACGCACTTGAAGGCAGGTGCTAAAATCATATTCATTTTTGAAGCTCCAGTACTTGTGTCTAGGTCAATAGCTATCTGTAGAATTGTGACTGAATTAAAGTACTCTTAAAATGATTTCATAGGAAAAAAACAAGAAACAAAGAATACCTTTCCTGACACTGTCACAAACATTACAGAGAGTACACTTGGAAAGTACAAAAGAATACGATCTGGTCCTTGTCAATTTGATTTTAGACATTTGCCCATTTATGATGGGTAAATTTGACTTTAGTTGAAACCATCATTTACTACCTATATATGAAAAAGGCACAGCATATGTTTTTATGGGCTGAATACTGAGTGCCCTTTAAAATTTACTTAAAGGGAAATTACAGCATCCAATGAAATGTTCAGCCCAGGTGGTGAACAAAGTAAATAAGTACTGAAAACATCATTTCCTCCAGTAATAAAACAGATTTAAATGGTAGTATACAATTTTATCTTTAGTTATAATAAAGTTTGGAACTTCCCTGCAGAGCAGTAGTTGTCAAACTTTAGTGTGCATGAGTTTTCCCCTAGTACTTACTGCAAATGCATATTCCCCAGCACCACCTCCAGAGATTTCAATTCAGAAGTAGATCCAGGATTCAACTTCCTAGGTATTTCTGTTGGGGTGGAGATGGGTGGTACCTAGGTAGTACCACCCACCAGGAGAAACTCTACTGTGAAAAACTAATTTTTTTGTTGGGGGGGCGGCTGTGCCCCGTGGCATGTGGGATCTTAGTTCCCTGACCAGGGATTGAAGCTGTGCCCCCCTGCAGTGGAAGCGTGCAGTCTTAACCACTGGACCATCAGGGAAGTCTCAAAAAACTAATTTTTGGATGAATCTATAAATGTTTTGTTAAAAGTAATTAAGTATAGGCTGGTTCCACCTCACTCCCTCTCTAAATCATAGCTGAGATTCAGGCTTGATGAAATATTATAAATTGAGAATGTAAAATACAGCTCATTGTACATAGTATAGTAAATTACTGTTATTCTTGAAAATAAGGGGATTTCTATTATAGCCTAGTGGAAATAAAGACCTTAGAACAGAGGAAAATATTATTCTGTTGAATGCAAAAGCATTTTAAATGGAAGACAAGCATGCAAATGAGCTTGGGCTCATTAACCTAGAGCTGGAAATATTTTGTTTGTGTATCAGAGAACTGATATGTGGGCTACTGGTTCATCATTCATCCAAAAACTATTTATTGAGAAATTTGAGTAGTAGTATCTTTTCAGGTCCTGAAAAGCTGTCTCATTAGTGAGGTCATTGAATGCTGGAAAGATCTGAATTCTCAAAGACTACTTGGATATGTTTGCACACTGGCTGTACAGATCTGTCTCCAAATAAGTAAAACTCTAGGACTCTTTCAGATGAAAACTGGTGGAGAGTTATAGAACCATAATAGAAGTAGGTTCAGCTTGACCACAAATCCAGATATTTCTCGCAACAGAATAACTAGAGTTCTTTCCTGGATACAGTGATTTTCCTCTAACATTATGGGCTAGAAGTACCATCAGTTTTCTACCTGTAAACTTCAATAGACTATAGTTGACTTGGAGTTGTTTCATATCACTGTCCATTAAGGTAGCCACTAGCCACATGTGGCTATTGAACACTCGAAATATGGCTTGTCTGAATCAAGTTGGCTGTAAGTGTAAATTACACACTGAAATTTGAAGGCTCAGTACAAAAAAAGAAGAGTTAAAAGTATTCCTTTGGGGCTTCCCTGGTGGTGCAGTGGTTGAGAATCTGCCTGCTGATGCAGGGGACACGGGTTCGAGCCCTGGTCTGGGAGGATCCCACATGCCACAGAGCAACTAGGCCCGTGAGCCACAATTACTGAGCCTGCGCGTCTGGAGCCTGTGCTCCGCAACAAGAGAGGTCGCGATAGTGAGAGGCCCGCGCACCGTAATGAAGAGTGGCCCCTGCTTGCCATAACTAGAGAAAGCCCTTGCACAGAAACGAAAACCCAACACAGCAAAAATAAATTAATTAATTAATAAACTCCTACCCCCAACATCTTCTTTAAAAAAAAAAATTCCTTTGATAATTAAAAAATATTGATCACATGTCAAAATGATTTTGGGTATGTTGTTAGATAAGATATATTACTCAATTTAATTCACCAGCTTCTTTTTACTTTTTTAATGTGTCTACTAGAAAATTTTAAATTATATATATAGCTCACATTACATTTCTATTCAAAAGCACTAATATACACCAAAAGAAGCACGAGATTGTTGGTCTCTCTAGACTGAGAGAGTATTGATTTTAGTGCAAACTTAAAATATCCTCTGCAATTTCTACATGAGGAAAGTGGAGACAGTGATGTATTATTTTGTTCATCATTACATGCTTGGTGCCTTGTGAGTACATGATGAATACTGAATGGATGCATGAATGATTGAATCAGCATTACTTTGGTACTGTGCATGCCTGGGGCCTTTCCAATTATAGGGAGCCTAGTTTGATATGAGTCTCTGGCTGTGTCTTTATCCTATAGTCATCAAATACTTGAACCAAAGTAGCTACATCTTGGAAAGAAAAGTTCTCTCTGGAAACACCCAATCTGCCCAGATTTCAATAAAAATTATATACGTTTTAATTTAATCCTTGTCCATGTATTTAAAAAATTGCTCCTAGCAGCTTATGTGTTTTTGAATCTACTACCTAAGCCTTCCTTTTATTAAAAATATTTATCAAATCCCAATATTTATATAACTTCTTGAGTATGGTTCTGGCTTCTGATTCAGTTTAACTCAACAGACCTGTATGGAGTGCCCACTCACTATGTGCTTTTGCCTTGGCTAATTCACAGGAGTTAAATGGGACATAGTCTCTCTGCCCTTAATAGCTAGTATATAAAATTGAAAAAGTAATATAAGACTCCAGCATGATAAATCTGAGTTGACCTTTCCCCACTGTACTGTCTTGGCACCTTTGTTGAAAATCAATTGACTGTATATATGGTATTCTATTTCTGAACTCCATTCTATTCCACTGATCTGTTTCTCCTCACCCCGATACCACACTACCTTATTTACTAATTACTATATAATGAGTCTTAATATCAGGTAATGAATGTCCTCCAACTTTGCTCTTCTTTTTCAAGACTGTTTCAAGATCTTAGGCCCTTTGCATTTCAATATGTGTATTTCTACGAAAAAAATCTGATGAGATTTTGACTGGTTTGCATTGAATCTATAAATCAATTTAGAGATAACTGGTTTCTTAACAATCTTGCATCTTTTGATCATTGAACATGATATATCTTCCCATTTTTTTAGGTTTTCTTTAATTTGTCTCAGCATTGTTTTATAGTTTTTAGTGTCTTGTGCATCTTTAGTTAAATTTATTCCTAGGTATTTTAGATGACATGCAAAATGTCACTGTATATAATTTTTTAAAATTTCATTTCCCAACTGCTGGTTGCTAGAATGCAGAAATACAAATTAACTTTTTATATATTTGAGCTTGTACCTAAAACACCTTGCTAACTTCCTTATTAGTTTTTTGTTTTGTTTTGTTTTGTAGCTTTCTTAAAATTTTCTACATGGGCAATAATGACATCTGTAAATGAAGTTTTATTTCTTCCTTTCCAATCTTTCCTTGTCTTATTGGACTGGTTAGGAATCCTAGTACAATGTAGAATAATCATCCTTGCATTGTTCTTGATCTTAGGAAAACTACATTCAATATTTTATTATCAAGTATTATATTAGCTGTATAGTATATTTTTCATATGTTTATCAGTAAATTCTCTTATATTCTGGGAGTTTTTATTTTGTCAAGTGATTTGAGATGACCATGCTGTTGTTCTCTTTGATTTTGTTAATGCAGTAAATTACACTGATTGGTTTTTAAATGCTAAATCAATGTTGC